GACTGCCAAGGTGGTGGTGTTGAAGGGTTGGCCATAGGAGGTGTAGGCGTCCGTAAATGCATATCAAGCTTTTTGATGATATAGTCTGGGTTCTATGGTGAAATTCCAGCGCCTTGGAAAGCAGACCTGCTGTTTTCCTCATTAAAAACCTTGTTGTGGGCCTGGTGGAAGGTAATAAAGAACTCAGACTTGGTAATGTGATTTATGGAGGCTCTGATAAATAGGTTGATTTTATCACCGTATGTGCGTTTTAAAGGCGAATAAAGCGCAATATCTAATGGCTGTAGTAGATGTGACGAATGTGCAGGCATACTGACGGTTATAATATTGTTCTGCTTGCAGTAATTGTCAAATTCGGCCGATAAATGGCTCTCGTGGCCGTCGATAATAAGCATCCGGTAGACGCCCTTCGTTTGGTTCTTAGTATGTTTATCGAAGTGTTTAATCCAGTCAAGACCCGTCTGATTATCCGTCCATCCATTAGTAGTGGGCTTGATGACCCAGTTGCCCGGAAAACCTGATTCCGTGGTCCAACTGGCAAGGTGATATGCGCCTTTGACAATCACGAACGGAGGGATGCACCACCCGCCCAAATTAATACATTCAATAACTACAGCCCATTCACGGTTACCAGGCTAGACAGACTTTGCTTTACAGCATCGATCAGTACGTATTACTACTATTAACGCGGTGAGCATGCCCATCATGAAGCCAGTTTCGTCGAAATTATATAAGTCCCCCTCTTAGATGCCATACTTAGCCATTATATTACATAACAGCGCAAACCACTTTAATATAACCTTAGGATCTTCTTAAAGAGCCCTTTGATAATCGTATAGACGATTAAACTTGGTTTTCAAAGCAGGCTGCGAGTCTACAAACCGCCTGGCCCATCGCTTGCTAATATAATAGGCTTACCATTACGCACTCGTGGTAAGAGATTGGCCATATCTTCTACACTAGCGAGACGCAAGAGAAACCCTCTTTAATCCTGTTTAATAACATATTAAAGAAGCGTTTTCTCTTCGATCGTATTAAGTTTATATCGTTAGGGTTAAATACGTTCGTATCGGGGTCGATCGTTCATTCTATAGCGTACGGAACTTTCGGGGACACCGTAAGTCTTCGTAATACGTAGTATACTTAGTTTTCGGCCGGCGGCGCGTGCTAATCGGATAGTCTCGATGGCTAGAAGTATCTTATCTTCTTATATATAAATTGGCATAATGGTTAAGTTATGGAGTTATTATGCATTAAAGGTTGGAGTGTTTAATGCAAACCGCATTTGGGAAAAAGTTCGTCGCTAACTGATATTCGTCGCTAACTGACGAACCACGTTATTAGTGTTTCAGAAGATATTAAAAATAAAACTTTAATTAAATTATAATAACTTACTATAGATGTCTTAAATACGGAACTTTATTATTATATTTTAATAGGCCTCAATAATATTATAAAGCTTAATAAAAGGAGCAAGTAGCCGTCGCTAAAGTATTATTAAAAAACTTAATATTATTATTGTTTAATAGCTCGTAAATAAATATCTTATACCTAACTACTTTAAAACTATTATTAAGTAAGGATGTTTTTACTACTTTAATTATATCTTTAACATTATATAAGTTGAAAAGTTTAAAAAGTATAGTAATATAACCTTAGGTAACTAGCTTTAATTATAATAATAATAATATTATAACTAGCTAAATAGATAACTTACTGTCACGGTAGCAGGCAGGTTGTTTGGCAGGTGGATGCTGGGCAGGCGGATCAGACAATCTATTGCTACGGGCAGGCTCTATCCTAAGCAGGTACAGGCTCTGTTGACAAGACGTAGCTCAAGGAGCTACGTTTCTGGACATGCGCGACAGAATACAGGATGCAGGGTTTTATCCAGCCTCAGGCTTATGTAACCCGGCCACCGGATTACTCAACACCAACCTCAAGGTTGGGGGCTAGGACAGCGGGTCTGTGACACTTACCGTTTTCTTATCTGAATATTATATTATATAAAACTTAGGATATAGTTAATAATATGGCTAGATTGCGTAGAAGGGTACTTTTTTTAATAAAAGCTTTAACGTGGTTCATCAGTCAGCCGGCCGGACCAGTCAGCCGGACGTTTTTTCCCACGTACACAACAACATCTAGTATTTCTCAACCACAACGCATTAAATCAACTATTAGTTGTCGCTATCAGAATCTCCTGAGGGTTCGACATCTTTGGAACAGGTTCGCGCGTTATGCCCAGTCTCACCACACATACCACAGCGTCTCCGAGCTGGCTGGGCTCTCTTTGATGGACCCCCTCGTCGTCCTCTTGAGGCGCTGGACGTTTACCTTTTTGTTTCTCTTCCAGCAAATCCTGAGATTCCTCTATACTAAGTGCCCCTCCAAGCTGCACACGTGACCTTTTGGCCCTCCGACGCTTAGCAAGTGCTACATTCGCATCCTCAAGGGTACGAAGCCGATCAGTCAAAATAGTGATTGAGTGCGCCATTGCCTGCGCACCCTTTGACAATTGCTCAACTGCAGCAATAATTGGTGTCGGTGAGCTTCCTTGATGAGCAGAGATGCGACTTTTGATAAAGTTGGACTGCGAGACGGTTTGTTGTGGGTTAGAGGGCGTTTGCGACTGCCAAGGTGGTGGTGTTGAAGGGTTGGCTATAGGAGGTGTAGGCGTCCGTAAATGCACATCAAGCTTTTTGATGACATGCTCTGGGTCCCATGGTGAAATTCCAGCGCCTTGGAAAGCAGACCTGATGTTTTCCTTATTAAAAACCTTATTATGGGCCTGGTGGAAGGCAATAAAGAACTCAGACTTGGTGATGTGATTTATGGAGGCTCTGATAAATAGGTTGATTTCATCACCGTATGCGCGTTTCAAAGGCGAATAAAGGGCAATATCCAATGGCTGTAGTAGATGCGATGAATGTGCAGGCATACTGGCCGTTATAATATTGTTCTGCTTGCAGTAATCGTCGAATTCGGCCGATAAATGGCTCTCATGGCCGTCGACAATGAGCATCCGGTAGACGCCCTTCGTTTGGTTCTTAGTATGTTTGTCGAAGTGTTTAATCCAGTCAAGACCCGTCTGATTATCCGTCCATCCATTAGCCGTGGGTTTGATGACCCAGTTGCCCGGAAACCTGATTCCGTGGTCCAACTGGCAAGGTGATATGCGCCCTTGATGATCACGAACGGAGGGATGCACCACCCGCCCGAATTGATACATTCAATGACTGTAGCCCATTCACGATTGCCAGGCTGGACAGACTTTGCTTTGCCGCGTCGATCGGCGCGTGTTACCACCATTGACGCGGTGATCATGCCCATCATGAAGCCAGTTTCGTCAAAATTGTATAGGTCCCCCTCTTGGATGCCATACTTGGCCATCATGTTGCGTAATAGCGCAAACCACTTTGATATAACCTGAGGATCTTCTTGAAGAGCCCTTTGATAATCGTATGGACGATTAAACTTGGTTTTCAGAGCAGGCTGCGGGTCCACAAACCGCCTGGCCCATCGCTTGCCAACAGGCTTGCCATTACGGGCTCGCAGCAGGAGATTGGCCATATCTTCCACACCGCTAAGGCGCAAAGGAAATCCTCTGGAATCCTGTTCAATAACGTATTGGAGAAGTGTTTTCTCTTCGATCGGATCGAGTTTACGTCGTTGGGGTTGAGCTTGTTCGCGTCGCGGTCGGTTGTTCATTCTATCGGCTAAGGTGCTCTTCGGGATACTGTAGGTCTTTGCGGCACGCGAAATGCTCAAGTTACCACCTGCAGCGCGCGTCGATCGGATCGCTTCAATTGCGAGAATGACTTTGTCTTCTTGGGTGTAGATTGGCATTATGGTTGTTGAGATTTTACGCGTCAAAGGTTTAAGTGGTTTGGACATAAGTGTGTTTAGAAAAAACGTCCGGCTGACTGGTCCGGCCGGCTGACTGATGAACCACGTTAATAAAGTTTAATATAAACTCCTTAAATAGCTCGAAAACTTTAATTACGAATATAAGATCGAAATTATTAAAAGACCGAACCTTAATCTTTAAATAAATAACTATAGAAAACTTGATTTTTAAATGAATAGCTAGTGTCACGGGCTGGAGCCTTGTGTGGGCTTAGGCTACGCCGTAAGCCTTACGAGCCGTGCATACGTACTTAAGTGCAGCAGAATGAACAGAGAGGGATCTGTTCATTACGTACCTTTTGGCCGAATAAGCCCGGGTGCGCATTTAGCGCAATGGTTTGTTATGTCTGCTGCCACATTTGCCCTTGTGGGGCCCACACCGTCATAGATATAAGGGAGATACTAGGGTAATAGTAGATAAAAGGACATATAGACCTAGCTAGAGGAATAGGAAACCTTCCCTTCCTCATATGAGGATTCTCAGTTGAGAAAGGAAGTACGAGTTGCAACATTGCTCCTACCGCCCTTGACAAAAATAAGTAAAAGAACTAATAAAGTTATTAATAAAATAGTAATAAGCGGGCGGGCTATTATAAAAAGACGGCTATGCCTCTATTAATAATTATTTAGTATAAATATCTATAGTAACTAGAGGCCTTAATAGCTTTATTAATTAGCTTTAGCTAGACCTCTATAAGCCTTGATTACTTGATATAGTCTAAGTAGGGTCAATTATACTTCCCTACTCCCACACAAGCGGCCTGCTTAGGTGCTCGCTTTTACGTTGGGGGAATCGATAAGCTTCATCTAATTCCTTCTTCCACATCCCCGTCACAAAGCTAGGAAATAAATGTTGATATTTATACCGACCGAACGGCTTTGCGACACCATGATATGTACACTGAAGATGATATCTTTCTAAAACGGTTCACCCATACCTAAAGGCGCAGCATTAAAGTAGACGTAGATTTATTTAAGTAAAAGCTGCGAAATAGATCATCTAGGGTATAAATTAACTCATAAGGCTTCAAATGCATTCCAAATCAACATAAACCACAACATCGGCCACAAATCGGGCTGTCCTGTTGTGATCATCGCTCCATACGCTCGTCATGGATGAGTGACACATTATACCGCTCTTCGCCGTTCCAGACCTTGCCCACCGAGTTACACTGGGCCACCGCCTGTCGCATGTCGGACATCAAACCGCCAGGGCCACTGGCGAAGACCGCCGTTCGCCCAGCCACGGTGGCATCGACAAATTCTCGGACAACTGTCGCCAGCTCGGGATGGCGGCGGGTGTCGTTGACACGCACCTGGTCTATCGCCCGAGCCGACACCTGTACCTGCTTCTCACCCGAGCTGTTGCCAGCATCAGACGAAGACTCCGACTCTGAGAGGTCTCCGGACTGTCCGGAGCGAGTGAGGGCATTGCCGGAGTCGCGTGTGGCAAAGATGCGAACCACCACATTTGGGCCTTGCTCAGCTCCCAAAGCATCAAGCTCGGATTGCACCCAAGCTACGTCGTTTGTACGTCTCACAATCCAGACGAGTTCAACCTTTCTGGATGCCCCGGAGTGCTTCTTCAGACTCATCAAAACGGGGAGAACATATGTGATACCAGTGCCACCAGCGACACACAGAATGTTGACGTCTGACGTGATGTTTCTCAGAATCGGGTCGCCATAAGGTCCAGTCAAGACAACGGGAGTGGTTGGACCGGCGGTACCCTTCTCAACAGGACCGGCAGCGAGCTTGCGCGCAGCAATCTGAGCAACCTTCTTCGTCTCGCCACCTTTGGCGCGGAAAATGTAGGAATGTTTCGTTTTCCCGTTCACAGTAGTAGGGGCGTTGAGTGGCGTGAAGGGATGTGATTGCCAGATGCTGCTCTCGCTGAAACACAGGTAAAAGTGCTGGCCAATCTTCCAGGCATCGTGGGGGTGGCTGAAGTCGAGTCGGACAACGTCGCCATTCTCGGGATCGGGAAATACGGTCATGACCGCCTGTGCAGCAGAGAAGCCCATACCCTTGCCCTCGATGAAATTGTGATGCATCAACGCAGTTCTGACACCACGGGCAAAGCGGTCCATGAACCAGATAACGAGAGCCGGAATCATGAAACACTCCAGGCTCTTCCAGTGACCGATGCAAGCACCTACGTACAACATGGCGAGCACGTAGTGTGACTTGCGGAAGAATTCGTAGCCAGTCAGACGGATGACCGGGGGCAAGCTGAGGATATAGAGGGCCATGAGGAAGAATAAGGCGATGCAGCCCCAAATCATGTAAAGCTGGGATATCCATTCGTTGGCAACCGTGGGCTGAGGCTGATAGAGACGGACCTCGATCACCAGCCAGCCGATCGTGTGCAGACTGGACTGGACAACGATGATGTAACCAACCCAGCGGTGAAGAAAGTTAAAGTTTTGGTAGGGGACGCCAGTAAGAAGGGAGAGAATCGACTCCCGTGTCGAGAAGAGGACGGACAGAGGCGTGAGAGCATAGGCAAGTATCCCAATACGATCAGACCAGGGGCCGAGACTGACTCTGGTGTTGTAGACGCCTGGCATCTTCTTGACGGGGGTGATCCAGGTGTTGTAGACAATGCCGACAAAGGAGAAGATCAAGAGATAACCGGAAAATACCGCCAAGATCAACACCTGCAGGCGGGTAGTCCTACCGAAGATGGAACGGACGCTGTCGGGGAGGAGGTATCGGTTGATTGCGGATGAGGTCGTCTGGCGGAGGCGGTTGAGGAAGCTCTTGCTTGCACGAGTATCCTCGAGAAGAGCAGCTCGAAGGACGTCCTCCTCAGAGAGAGACGGTAGTGCTCGTCGACCAATGGCCCATATTAACAAGATGGCGCAAATAACTGCCCACATAATACCGACATATAGCATGCCCAAATCGTGAGAGTGGTAGACAACATCAAGGTAGGCGCAGGACCCGGCGTCGTTCGTACACGGGAGGGCTCGATCCACGTAGCCCCAGTGAGGTTCTATGGTGGTGGCATCGCTCAGATTCTGGATATGACGGGCCGCCACATGGGACTTGAGTTGAGAATCCATGGTGTTGATGGAGGTGTCGTGAGGCGACCAAGGGTCGGGCTGTATCTTGTGACAGCGCTCAGCGCCGTCTTGACACCTCGACTCCTTGGAGGTATTCTGCTTTAAGATGCTAGTGCGCAGATGGTTGAGGTGGTAGACGTATGTGTAAGTGCCGTCGAATTGTCAGTCTCAATACAATATCAGGTTGCATGAGATGAGAGCAAAGAGTGTTAAATTTTGCAAGATGGACGGAGGACAATGTGAACGATAGCGTGGAAAGATGTCGGTGGGCGGTATGGTAAAGGATGAGAGCAGATGTCAGTAGATAGCAGCCAGCGAGGTAGAGACTCTTAAAGGTAGGATGGTGTGGCACCGGTGATGCAGTGTAGTAGCATAATCCGAGTAGAAGAAACGGGACCAGGCGGGATTTGAAAAGGTTTCCAGGAGCTCGTCACGGCGGGTTATGGGGTTTTCAAGGTGGCTAGTTAATCTAGGGGTCTTGGTAATGTTTCCGGGTTTGGGGCGGCTCCGCGATGTTTGGAGCCGGAAGGAGGGCTACGGAACCACTGGTGTCACTCTTAAAGAGAATCCCCATATTGAAACCCGCTTATACAGTTGCTTTTTGAGCAAGTTCCTGTGTCATCAAGAATAGCTGCGCTGAGTTTGGCCAAGGCAATAATTACTCCCCGGTTCTGGAGGGTGGTGGGAGGGGCTGGCCAGATTCAAAGATCTAATACTACCTATTCGCAAAAGGAACGAGGGTCCTTGGACTGTTTCTAGAGCACATTAGCGGGGAATGAGCCGGAAGTGAGCACGTTAGGAGACCCATGGTGAATAGGCTGTTTAAAATGCGGGAGAACTGAGAGAACAAGTGCTTGAAGGTAGCAATCTATGAGCGAAAAAGGGCAACATGAGCCGGATGAAGTGAGCGATGGTACCATGAAGGTATTGTCAAACACGGAAAACATGATCGTGTGGTGAAAGGGAGTGAGCAAGTTGAGCATCTTTGAGCAAGTTTCTGTTGGAAAGCGGGTCTGGACCGGGGTATCGCGTGGGAACCGAACTACAAGACCCACATTGGCGTGTGGGGCCGGGCTGCAGGAGCGGCGCGGCCCTCGGGACCGTCAAGGTTCTTCCTGCCATGTTTGCCCTCATCCCGAACTACCAGTCACCTCTGCTGCGAACCTTGGACTCACCAAAACCTCTTTACGTTGTGAAGGTCATCTCCAGCTTGTCCAAGCCATTGCCTCTTTTGGCGCCGAGTCGTTGTTTCCAGCAGGGCGGATCAACCTCAATAAGGTATGCTCTAGGGCTAGCTTAACAGGCTGAATGCTCATCCGAGATGGCTCCAGCGGAACCTGGCAAACGGGAGACCCACACTCGGGTCGGGTGGCTTTTGCGATCACCGTCAATTGAACGACGAAAGCGTTATGGAATACAATAGGTACCCAAGATATCTTTCTATGCAACCCAGGAAATCGAAATCAACTCATTGAAGATGCGCCTGGTGGGTTTGCGTTGCTTGTCATCAGCAAGTATCGTCATTGCAGTCATACTGCACAGTATCTTAGTATCGAGTCGCATATTGCAACGGCTTGTGAATTCCAATCTAACTCGATTTCGGTGGCAAAAGAGTTGAATCGCTCTCCACCTAGATTGGAATCATCTTCGGAAACACTCTCAGTCTGTTGCCGTCTGGCAGCTTTAGTTAAGACCAGGTAAGGTGCTAATGATGTCTTTTCCTTCTCGGTTTCCCTTGGCAAACGCTGAAGCCAGATTAGCGTGAGCAAGATAGAGGGTCTGCTGTCGTAATACGGGTACTTGTCAATTATCCAACGCCCAACCGTCCCATACCAACGTAACATCATTTTGGTTGACCAGCATGAGTGGAACCCTTTGAATCGTCAAAAGCGAAAACAGACAGTCCCAATACTCAATCCCTCCATGCTCGTGTCCCATGCCGACCCCTCTTGAAACTTGCGCAGCACCACCTTTGCCGTTGACTGACCAGGATCTGCCAGCCATATTTGCGCTAACCCATAAGTAGTGACATCCCCCTCCGCATACCTTTTTTGCCCTCTCTTTGCGTTATATGTGCCATTTTTGCTCTTCTCCAGGTCCCTGTCACTCCTACAGTTCTGCAATCGCTGATCGTTCCGCCCGTGCTGACCCTGTATCTGTGGGACGTCCCTTCAACTCTCTCATATCCACCCACTATCCATCCAGCCTCGAGGCCAACTCCGGGTCTCGAGCCCGTATAGATATCGAGCGATTCCAGCGCGGACGGCCTGCGGGGTGGCCACCGACGTCTTCTCTCCGTCTGCCAGTGCTCAGCGACACCAACCTGAACCATTTCTCACCACCAGTTGCCTCGCATCTACTCAATCGACCGCCTCAACCGATCGCATCGCATCCCGTTCGATCGTACCTGCGACACCCGAACTGTATCTGCTACTCTCATACTCTGAATAGCCTCATTCGACGCCAAGCTCCACTGCATCTGCTGGCTCAAACTTTTCTCTTCTCCCTTCACACACAAGCTTCTAGCTTGCCAAACTAGCCCATCATGGACCACAGTTCGATGGCCAGCTCGACGGACTGCAAGATGTCGGTATGTTACTATCCCCGGCCTCCGAGTACATGTGCTCGACTAACATGACGACTAGATGTTATGGAACTGGTACACCATTGACGCATGTAAGTACAATGAGCGCATCTTGTCGAGGCAAATACCAGTGTTCTGGTGTATACCCTCCTATAGTCGGGAAATGATGGAAGCTAATGATTCGATGCGATAGGTTTCCTCGCGTCCTCATGGCAGATCAAAAACGCCGGCATGTTCGCCGCCAGCTGCATTGGTGTCGGTCTGCTCACCGTCTTCCTCGAAGTATTCCGCCGACTCGGAAAAGAATACGACGCCCTCATCCAGCGCCAATTCCAAGCCCGCGCCGCCGAACTCCAAGCCCGCATGCCCAAGGAGACGGACTGCCCCGCCGTCGTTGCTCCCCAGACGCTCGTCTTCCGCGCATCGCCGCTGCAGCAGCTCATCCGATCCGTAATCCACGCCGCCACGTTTGGATTGGCATACATTGTCATGTTGCTGGCCATGTACTACAACGGCTACCTCATCATTTCCATCATAATCGGCGCTGGCCTGGGCAAGTTCCTTTGCGACTGGCTCGTTATTCGTGTCACTCTGGAGGCTCTTGCGGCAGCAGCTCCCAACAATGTTGTTGGGATCGAGGAGCCAAGTGTCTGCTGCGGTTGAGAGGATGGCTGGCCTGGTCGATTTGCATTCTGATGTTACAACGGGCGTTTGGAAAAGCGTCTTATGACGGGGCGTTGGCGGCGCGGCATGTCTGCTATTTGTCGCATGAGGTTCAATCTTCCTCGGGCTGGAAGCAATTTGCAAGGTGCTCAATCTTCGTGCACATGATGAATAAATACCCTGTCTCTTTCGTTCGCTATTCTGTTCGTCCCGCTACTTCTCGATTCATTGTGACACAAATGTTGAAGTTGCCTACTATTGCAGATATGAATCTAGCTACTTCTCTCGCAGGTCCAAGTAATCTAGGCACAGTAGTGAGCCGTGTTCCGTTCACCCAAGGGTTCAGCAATGCTGTGACTTTGAAGACCCAGTGAACTGCCCCTTTCTGTCTGTCCGCAGTCTGTACTCTCTTGCTGTAGGTTGACCTACCGGCCAACGATGGTTTGGATCTATCACGTATATACATGTGATATGGCCCACGTAAACGTGCCACAGACCCAAGCAGCCGCTGTCTTGACCCCGTCCTAGCCACAGGACTGACTCTAGATGGGCGATCTGTTTCAGGCCGATTCCGATCTCGCTAGATATTGTATTATATGCCTCATGGCAGTGCTTACATGGGGGTGTTCAAGGGCCAGCTGGACCATCAAGTCTCTTGATATCTCGCAGGCTTCTTCCATCACATAACGACCATGAGGGTTTTTCGCCTTGGCCTCTGGAAAACCATGCTCTGTGTACTTGTACCAACGCCGAGGCGCAATTCGCCAACGGACACTTCCACGTTCCCATACATTGCAGGTTGTCCCGAAGTATATGAGCTTTACTTCAGAGCAGCCAGGAGCTGTACTCTGGGTCACATACCTTTCCGCGTTTAGAGGCCCATAGAAATGAATCAGATCCTACCAACACCTATAGCACATACTTCAAGAGCCGACGAGTTGCACAACATTCAGCTGGGCTTGGTGTGTCCAAGGCGGCTAGGCCTGGCCAGCACCTACCTCATGTGAGAGGCGGAATGGCCCGCCGAGATGAGGCCTGCGATGAAGAACGCGAACTAACTATGGATAGAAAACGAAGTTCGAGATTATGTGGTAGCGCTTCATGTCATCCTCTTCTTTCATTATTATCTTCCGCGATATCATCGACAAGCCACCGTTTCCTTATTCATCCTCATCCTCCTCAATACTATGATAGTCCTATTTTTTCCACTCACGCTCATCCTTGCGTGACGTCCATCATGATCATACAAGCCTCCAAATGCCAGTTCCGAACTAAAGGTCGCTAAGTCGAACGCAAAAGTAGGAGACTTTGTTTGCTAAGCTCCCACATGAAATGATGCCCCAATAAATCCGGAAAGGTACCACGCACGCTTAGGACCATCCTATCTTGCAAATCCGCACTCGTACCGGCCCTCCAGTTCTGTTCATGAAAGAAATTTGGCACCCTCCTGCTTGAAGAGCCAGTCGCTGTTGGCGTCAACCATGAAATTCGTAATGTTGAACTCGTTCCCCGGCGCTGGCGGCGCGTTGGAACCGCCATTCTCACTGCTAGCATCCATGCCCGACGTGGCCCCGTTCTGCCCGTTACTGCCGTTCATGGCATGCTGGATTTCGTTACCTGCGGGTAGACGTGGCACGTTGAAGAAGTCGAATACATCCAGGTACTCGAGCTCGTTTGGTGCTGGGGTTCTGGCCGGTGTGACGCTGGGAAGCCGGCTATGATTTGGCATGCCGTTGGCACGGGGCTGACGGGATATCAGGAAGTCGAGGTCGAATGCCGTGCGACGCATGTCGGCTAGTATTTTGACCGAACTGGGTGTGACGCCTTCCCCTTGACGCTCGCTGTCGCGATGTTCATCCAGAACACGTTGTAAGAGGCCGCAATAGCGTGCAGCTACAGGCCAGTAGCGTCCCATTTCTCGTAGCGTCTCGACAAAGAATTGGATCTGAGGCGAGAGCTTATGCTCTACGGTAGAGCCATGGACGAGTAACAGACGCGAGGCCACCCATAGGGTGAAAGCAAAGGGAGGGCCAAGCTTTGCCAAAAGACCATTATTGACGACAAATTCACCTAGCGCGGCAATGTTCTCTACAGCGCCGTGGCAGCGTTGCGAGGCGCTGTATGAAGGGGTGAAGATGGGCGAACGGGTTGTCGGATACGCCGCCGACGAGTGCAATCGGATCACGGCCGTGTGGTACGTTGCATGCAGCATCACCCAGCCGCAGTTCAGTGTCTTATTACCGGGCTGGAACAACTTGGCCATATTGCCGTACTCCCCGGGAAGACCAAACTTCCAGGATGTGAGCATGTTGTCGAGCTCCTTGTAGCGCATCTGCCATTGCTCCACATCGCTGAGAGCACTGATGTCGACAGGTTGCTTCAAGAACTTGTGAATCTTGGACAGTATTGCCAAGATTTCTATGTAATATGAGAAAGCACCAAGATTCTCGGGCTTGTTGATCTCATATTCGGGGGTTGTGTCCTCAGAATGGTCCTGAGTTCTGAACCATCGTGTCTCAACTTTTTGATTTTTGAGCCATAGATCATCCCGGCATGGTAGGGTCCGATCGACTTCCTTGTCGTCCAGCGCGAATTCAAAGGCAGTGGCCAGAGTGGCGTACCGATCGAGGAGGTAAATCATCCAGAAGAGCCGCCGCCTCGATTCCTCCTCAATGAAGTCCTTGGGTTCTGGTAGAATCATGGCCCTCAGCGTATAAATGGAGGTAAAATTGGGCGAGACTGAGAATGAGGTGCTCTCAACGGCCAGGCCAAGTTGGACAACCGATCTCGTTATCAGAGCCATGATATTCCAGCCAGGGGGGCCATTGCTGCTGCCGACAAGGTCCAGAGCAAGAATCACTAAGGCTTGCAGGGCCTTGACCGAGGAATTTTCCATGCCATAGAGCAAGACCCTCTGCTTCGATATGGAATGGTAATGCTGCCGACTTTCCTCGGTCAGTCTTGAGTCAGTAGAGTATCGGAGCGTTGTGGCAACAATGGCATGTAACAGAATACGATCTGTCTCTTCAAGGGTGGATGGGCCAAATAAAGAATCCAAGGTCGTCTTCCGATGGAGTATGGGGCACCAGGTGTTGATGTGCTTGAAGTACAGATCGACTAGGGCGTAAAGCAGGTCGTAGGGCGGTAGCTCCTGGTCTGGGGCTGTCGACGTCTGACTTTGTGCCATGGCCACATCTGGAGAGTGAAGTTGTGTTTGATTTGTGCCATAATATTCCTGCGCCGCACTGCTAGGGTGTGACATGGCAGTAATATGGCTCGGCGGTGCAGCCATGCTGGTCATGGGCATTTGACCTTGAAACTCGTGCATGGATGGAGTGGGGGGCGGCATCCCGAACTCCATGGACTGCGAGGTTGAGGGGTAGGATGATGGTTTTTGAAGGAAGAGAGCCGTCTCCGCCTGCGGCGTTCGATGGGACTCAGACGGCCGGAACAAGGCATTGGTCTCTCGCGGTGTGCCATGATCACTCGGCAGACTCGGGTTACTATTCCGAATGCTTGGTGCCACACCGTGGTGTTGGTTGGATGTCAGGGTCGCCTGGAGGATCTCGGAATGAGTTCTGAGTATCTCCTCGAGCTTGTCCAGTCGCTGCTCCAGCTCGCGGCCATAGCCGGCGCGAAGACCGGGCTTCTTGCGCTCCTTGTACTCGCACAAGGCTCCATTGCGGCTGCACCAGCCGCAGGAGGGCTGTCCACGGTCACATTTCACCTATTCAGTCGAGGCGAGTCAGCCACAGATTCCATCCAGGTTTAGATCTGAGTAAGTATCTGAGGCAGGAAAAGAATAACAAAGAGGATGGAGAACAATCGTTGACCTCTCGGGGTATAAACGAGTTAGTCATGACACAGTGATGTGTAATATGGAGAGGTGACATGCAGCACAAAAGGAAGAGCATGGGACGGAAAAAGAAATGGGAAATGGTGTAACCTTTCTCTGCTTGCACAGCTCGCATCTTGGAGTTGGATTGTTAGCTTCAGGATTCTGCTCGGAAGGCACGGGTTCGGGCGATTGTGGTTCGGGGGACATGGGGGCAAAGCCCAAGGGGGGCAATTAAAGACAAGAAACAGGGCAAAGGAGAGAAGGTAGAGAGGCGTGTGGGTGAGTGGATAAAGGGAGCAAGGCACCCAGACTGCCGGACTTGATATGACTTGAGAGATGAGGGAGGCAGGTGTAATAGGGTTGAGTGAGAGTGAGTGGCATGGGCTTGAGGTGAGGTGAGCTAGGAGGGAGAACGACATACGAGACAGATATGGGTCTCTTGCGCTTCCCAAGGCGGGTGACATCCTGATCGTCTTGGTCAAGATCGTTTTCGTCTCCGCTTTGCAGCTGGTTGCCGTCGTCAGAGTCCAGGTCCTGGCTATGAGACTGATTCTGGTCATGGCTTTGGCTACGGTTGTGCTGGATAGACTTGATGTTAGCTGCAGGCGATGACCGGCTGCTGAGGGAGTGGCCGTTGTGCTGCATCCTCGGTGTGGCAGTCTCCGAGCAATGGCAGGCGGAAGGGTAAAACAAGGCCGAGAGATCTGTATCTGAAGAGCAAGTGCGGCGCAGGCACAGAGCCGAATGGTTGGGTAGGGCGGGCGCGCGCACACACACACACACACGGATAGAAGGCGAACGCGTAGGCGTGCGTATGGATTGGAGTCGCAGGCGTTTGTGCGAGATTCCAACGCGCGGATTCGGGAGAAGCTTGGGAATCTCGGGTTAATGTTGAGCAGAGGGTGGGAGAAAAAAAAAGGGCACCGGAGGCTGGGGTCGGGAAAGAAGAGGCTCGGGGTATTTTTTTTTGTGTTTTTTTTCTGTCCCACACGTGCCACACTCCAGTCGGAGTCCAGGCTGTTGGACAGACACCAGAAAGGACTGAACAAGATAAAGAACGACAAGGAAGGGAGCGGGGAAGCAAGTTCGGGGGAGGGGAAGGAAGCGGAGGTGGAGAGGGCAAGCTGGAAATACGTGACGGGGATGGAATTTAATTGGACTGGAAGAGATGGGGAAAGAGGGATGGGCCTGATGAGCTGAATTGACCGTCCCAATGGGCCAAAGGAAAGGTACCTTACCCAAGGTGTCTGTAGACGTGTAACGTCTTGAATACGAAAGGTAGGCTTGAAAAGGTAGATAAATTGCTACCGCTGCCTCGCAAGCAATTGACAAGGCTCAATTCAGAACACGTAGATAGTAGTCGAGCAGGTCGTTGCTTCTCTGTTCTCCTTTGGTTGTCGCTCCCGTACGCGTGGGCCGTGGGAACAGAGCACAACAACAAGCACGTTTGTACCTTGGTGACACTATCAAGACAACGTCAAGGGCCAAGGAATATTAGGCTGCGCAAGCCCGTACGGAAGGGTTCTCGGTTCCCTGAGAAAGCACTTGTCCTTTGCAATCCAGCAGATTGACAACGACTACGGTACCATGTTCAAGACAAGGTCAGAAAGAAGGCGGGGTGAAGCGAAAGCCAGGCTTGTTCATTCAGGTTTGCCAGCGGTTGGGGGCGGCAGAATCGAAAATGGATTGTGTGGGGAAGAAGAAGGAAGCACGCACCAGTGCCCGCACGAGGGAGAGGAGAATGCGGAGAAACCGCTGACAGATGAGCGCCTTCCGAGGCCCATGAGGTATCCCCGTCCCAGGCCTTCCTCCCCCAGTTATCTCAGCCAATGAATCCTTCGGGGATGAAAGAAGTGGGGTTGATTGGCCTCTACCATTGGGTCAGGCATCACGCACCTAGCCACATACAGATTGTGGAGGTGGCTGTGGCCCCAGCCAAAGGTACGTACTCTGGGCGAACATCGTGAGGTACCCAGGTCACGGCTGTGCGCCTCGTAGAAAATTAACACCACAAACCCAATGCAACACAGAAGATCAGCTGGCCGTCTGGTGCGCGTTATTTTTGCCTTGGTCACCGCCTCAATCTTCCATCCGTATAGTCTCATCCGTGTTTTGGGGGGAATTGCTTGAGAGGAGGATGGCAAAAAAGATAGTCCTCCGTCTCCGTATTTCATCTCACCAGGAACACGGGACGCCGGGCGTACCTAGTATCGGCTTTGGGTTCTAGTCTGGGCCTGGACCGGTCAGGTCATGTGAGTATCATCTTCCGTGTGGCTTCCAATGCGCGGCAAGGCTCAGAGTCCTTTGTACGTAAGATGGAAAGAGGCAGAGGAGAAAGCGTGCGGTGCGGCATGCCTCGGACCAGCAACAGTGGGACCCACATCGGGCAATTCGGTGCAGTTCTCGGGCCAAGATATCCCATGTCTCCGAAGTCGCCCGTGACCAGCCGGGGACTTGCAAAGGAAATCGCGTGCATTTCGACACTGCTGGGATAAAGCTTGACCGAGTCACGGTCTTCATTACCTTACTGTGTAGGCGCTTAGGTACCGACAAAATGAGAAGAAGAAGAAGAAAAAGGGTAAACATTCAGGACAGCAATTATGGTTCGGGTTAGCCATGTTCTGACCATGACACGCGTACCTTAGGTTCTTTTTGACCATACCTAGGTCGTAGCTTTTAGCCCATGGATCCATTGGTGTGCGGCGTGCCATACGCCTTCGCAGTTACGGCCTCTCCCGTCCCGAGCAACCGGGATCGTGCCCTTCACCACCCCTTGAAAAGTCAATTATGTGTGTACGGATACTCTCAGCGATGGGATTAAATCGATTTGCTCGATAGACGCGCAAGAATCACCCCTCGTGCCCCCACGGTAATCTTGTCCATCATCATGCGCCCTCTGACACACCCTCAACTCGTTGACGACTCAATGCCTGCAGCAATGCTTGCACAGATACCTAGCCACTCCTGAATTGCCCGATTGGCCCTATGCCATCATCCCATCGGTCCTAGGCCGGAAACGAAGTGAGAGGCCATTGGACTGGCATATGTCGGTTTTCTACGGATATAAGTTGACATAATATGAGCACATAGCTGTCCGTCAGGAAACTGTGTATGACTGAAGCAGTGTCCCTCATGAATGTGTCCTTGTGTCTGCCCATCGTATAGTGAGTGCATCTCAAATAGAGCACACAGCGGCTGCTATCTCACGATGTTTCCCGCTTCGCCGCTGGCCATTTGCAACTGTGAAAGCCTCAGGAAGGCCATGTGAATGACACCCGACATCCGAGTCCGGCAGATGGGGATTGGATGAGGGGGAGGGGTCCTTTCCCGTAGCCCACTGCCCTCCCCCTGTTTCCGCCTGTCGGTGCATCTGCTGCCGATCTCCAAAACCTTCCCGTCCACCACCGTCCACCACAATAGCACAAATCAGTCTGGCTCCAAGCCGACTCGTGTTGAATCTGCTGTGTCTAGACCCCACTTACGTGGACTTTCGTCCGATTCGGTCACCATGGCACCTTTGCTCCTGTCCTGTTCACTGGGCTCACATGTCTTGGAATCCCGGCGACAGGTAGTCTTCCGTCCCTCTTAAAAGACGCCCACGAACCCAATTCCCCCTCCGTTTCCCCCTCACTTGATTCTCCCATCATTGTATCGTGTCTCACCTGTCCATTCTCAAAACCCCCCTCTTCCCTCCCCTCCCCTCCCTTGCTCAATACACTGGCAGACACGGATACTGGAGACAACACAATGGCGTCCGTGAGATCTTTTCCCTCCATCAAGGAGATTCGGACGTTCGTCATCGGCGGCGTTGGTTCCGGTGGTGATTATCACAATGTCAAGGGTGGTCACTGGTAAGTTTGTAGCGCTGCTCTGGATGAGCTTTGTCACGCAACGAACGACTTGAGCTAATAACGCGACAAACAGGCTGATTGACAGTCCCATTTCCACGCCCTGCTCGCGATGGGAGCAGTACCGCAACTCAAGAACTAGCTGGGGCATTAATGTCCTGGGCTCATTCCTCATCGAGATCGAAGCGACAGACGGCACCGTAGGCATTGCTACCGGCTTTGGAGGTGCGCAGTTTTGAACACATCACACGAGAAGACATGACGAAGGACGATTTTGCTGACCAGGTCTCATGCAGGTCCTCCGGCGTGCTGGCTCGTCCACCAGCACTTTGAGCGTTTCCTCATCGGCGCTGATCCCCGAAACACCAACTTGCTGTTCGAGCAGATGTACAGAGGTTCCATGTTCTACGGCCGAAAGGGTCTTCCTCTTGCCGTCATCTCCGTCATCGATCTCGCCATCTGGGATTTGCTTGGCAAGGTGAGAAACGAACCTGTATACAGGCTGATTGGAGGTGCCACCAAGGAGCGCCTCGACTTCTACTGCACTGGCCCCGAGCCGTCGGCAGCCAAGACGATGGGCTTCTGGGGCGGCAAGGTCCCTCTTCCGTACTGCCCAGAGGACGGCCACGTCGGCCTGAAGAAGAACGTCGAGTTCCTCCGCAAGCACCGCGAAAGCGTTGGCCCCGATTTCCCCATCATGGTGGACTGCTACATGAGTCTCAACGTGTCTTACACGATTGAGATTGTAAAGGCCTGCGAGGACCTCAACATCAACTGGTGGGAGGAGTGTCTGTCTCCCGATGACACGGACGGCTTCGAGCAGATCAAGCGCGCGCACCCCACCATTAAGTTCACCACTGGCGAGCACGAGTACTCCCGATTCGGATTCCGCAAGCTCATCGAGGGACGCAACCTGGACATCATCCAGCCTGATGTCATGTGGCTCGGTGGCCTCACGGAGCTGCTGAAGGTCTCGGCCATGGCCTCGGCGTACGACATTCCCGTTGTTCCTCACGCCAGTGGCCCGTACAGCTACCACTTCGTCATGTCACAGCCCAACACGCCTTTCCAGGAGTACCTGGCCAACTCGCCGGACGGCAAGAGTGTGCTGCCTGTCTTCGGCGACCTCTTCCTCGACGAGCCCATCCCCACCAAGGGCTTCCTGACGACGGCTGATCTTGACAAGCCCGGCTTTGGCCTGACGCTTAACCCGGCGGTCAGGTCGAAACTGATTTCGGGCAAGGCCCTGCTGAATGTCAGCCCCGTAAGTGGACAGACAGTCGCAAAACGTTGTGTTGTCAGATGTACTAACAGATTCGTAGGAGAGGCCCCTCAAGTCGGTGGAGGAGACGGAAGCGAAATAAAGAAACGGCCTTGTGTATGATGTTGCGGCCGAGTAACAAGAGCCGGGAACATTGTCAAAGTAGAATAGCATGTCTCTTGAATGGCTATTGGGGACACTTAGACCGAGGCGGTTGGATTCAGCTGTGTGGCTGTATTGAGCATCACTTATCGGCGCAATGTACATGACGAATCACCTGGTTTATTTAGGTGCCACGTGGAATAGATTTATGACAATATTTACGGCAACTACACATCATGTTGGTGACCATGATACATTGGATACAGTGTCTCTTGGCGGTATGAACTGAAGATGCCAGCACATGATCGCCCACGAACATAGTATTGGGTAGACAAGATCTCGAACTGGTTCGTATCTGAACCAAAGGCTTTGACTTGGCCTGTGACGATCGACTTGAGCTTCGCGGAGCAGTGCACAATACACGCGGAGTGTGGGGGTTCCATGTCTAGTCTGACCTATGATTACCCTGCTCAACGTGCATCGGAAGAGTTAAGAAACCAGACGGAAGGCAGTGAGGGCGGAGTGGCGGAATTCCAAACAACGTGGAGGAAAAGCCGTCCATGGCCAGAGCATGAAAGAGGAAGCAGGTGGGATGGTTGGCATGGTGGTTGGTGGGGGATGCTCGCTACAATTATGACCGAGAGTGCGGGGTGGAAAGTGGGATGCCCACAGGTCATGGGGAATTCCGAATAAAAAGGGGACCACGGACGGGTCCGCCATCGGCAGCTGCGCCGGGCTACTAATACACAGGTGACAGTTAATACCTACCTTCTTACCTAAGGCACCGTACATGGAAGCAACCTTCCTTACCTAAGGTCCCCGAGTAGGTAGGCATCGTGGACTCGGAAGGCACCTCCTGCAGCGGGCGGCAGTCGTGGCTCGGTCATCGGGTCTCACTTGAGCCGCCCTCGCTGCACAATAACCCCCCTCCGCCCTCACAGCTCCGTCCCGCCTCCTCCGCACCAACCAGAACGCCATCGTGCATGTATCGTCGACTACAAATATAGACTTGGTAATCATCCGTCCTCACGCACGAGCAAAGTCGAAGCCTACAACGACTCTACACACGAACACGATCACTCGCTAATCGTCTGCCATCCATCGCCAATCGTCCACCGCTTAACCCTTTGGCCGATCCAATTACCAGGGTCTGATTCGACGTCCTACCGTCCAAGACAACCCCGCATCCGAACTCATTTCGACTTCATACCTTCTATACTACAACGACAATAGCTTTTCTTCTTTGGGAAGCTCGCCATATTTACAAGTAGTACACGATGGCCCCGACGAATCTGCTTGATGGCAAGACTGCCATCATCACGGGCGGCACCACTGGCATCGGGAAGGCTATTGCGTTGGAATACATAAAGCAGGGTGCCAACGTTGTCGTGAACCATTTGGGTCTTGAAAAGGACCAGCCCCACCTTGATGCTCTCATTGCCGACGCCGCTGCTGCGAAGCAGGAGAACCCCAACGCGGGCCGTCTGGCCGATATAACTGGCGATGTTCGCGAGCCCGAGACGGCAGCAAAGCTGGTTGCGCGTGCTGTCGAGCATTCCGGCAACGCCCGTCTAGACATTTGCGTCTCCAATGCTGGCATCTGCACATTCGCCGAGTTCCTCGAGCTGACACCAGACCTGTTCACCAAGACAGTCCGTACCAACCTTGACGGCGCCTTCTATGTTGTACAGGCAGCCGCTCGCCAGATGAGCCAGCAATCACCCGCTGGAGGTAGCATCATCGGTATCTCGTCCATCTCGGCCCTCGTCGGCGGTGGCCAGCAGACTCACTACACCCCTACCAAAGCTGGTGTACTCAGCCTCATGCAGAGCACTGCCGTTGCCTTGGGAAAATGCAATATCCGCTGCAATGCTCTGCTCCCTGGTACAATCAAGACGCAGCTCAACGAGGAGGATCTGGCCGACGATGCCAAGCGGGCCTACACGGAGGGCCGCATTCCTCTAGGCCGCACCGGCGTACCGTCCGACCTCGCCGGGCCCGCCGTATTTCTAGCCTGCGAGTACCTCAGTGGTTATGTGACAGGCGCGCAGTTGCTGGTCGACGGCGGCCTCTTTGTTAATCTTCAATAAAGCGCTCTCAGCCTATCACCCTCGGCCTCGGATGTTTGTTTTAGACTGCTTTGGTATCGGGATATCCCGCCTATTGGCTGAGTAGCAGATAAAATGCCGGCCCGTGGAGGAATCAGAAAAAGGTACGACAGAATGAGGGATTTAGGAGGGCACGGAGGGGAAAAGAAAGAGACACCGTTGCAAAGACCACCTACCGTTCCAACCGGCGCATTCAAGCACCGCAGGATGAAACAAAAGTCCAAGGATTGAGGAATGTATGATTGATTATTAGCAAGTGAGCGGTATTCCTCGAATCCACTTGCGTGCTCATGTTGGCCAGTCACGCCAACCCGTTGATTTCCTTTTCCCTTCCATCAAACCCTCTTATCCTCATATTACTGGGCAAGGACCAGGCCTCCGTATGCAAGCCAAAGCCCCCTTCTGCCCATCCCTCATACTTCTCTTTCGTCTGCCTGTTGTTTGAGCGAATTGTGGTTCCGGTTTCCAATTTCACCGTCTTTGGTGGTTTTCCAACTGTCCAAGCGAGGGCAACGGACGAATAAGACGGCATTGATAGGTGCGTTCCTACAGTATGGGTACGGACAGGGGGCAGGGGTTGCCTGCATGGAGTTTGGCCGACGGTGACGGCATCACAATGCGACTGACGAGTAGCGTGTATGGCGGCAGCGGGACGCGACAGTAATAGCGCCGGGCTTAAGGCTGGTTTTCGCTTGGTCGACCGTAGGCGTCTTCTCACAGCTCGGCAACGTTGGGTGATGGCGTCGTTGTGCAGCCGGGGAAAAAAAAAAACGGTGACGGGAGGCCGGCCGCAGAGGGAAGCAAAGGCCCGCGACTGGGGATACGCGTCTACTGGTACAACCGCATATCTCGGGTGTGTACGGTGAAGCGTGTAATACGGCAGGACGGGTATCGTTATCTCGAACCCTTTCCATACTACGAATACACCAAGATTCGCCTTCGTTCACTAGATACACTGCCTGTGTCCTTGCCATACCCAGTTATCCGCACGAGAAACGTCGAGGTCAACCGTCAGTCACAGAATAATGAAAACCCCGGAGTTTCCAGAGGAACAGGCCACAAAATACACATGTTGTGAGCGGGTACAGCATAAGTGGATGGTCTGGAGATGCGTGGTTTCTTTGGGTATCAGTGTTCTAGACTCGGTGATGTTTTGTGGCCCTGTTCACGCAACTACCCTGAACACAGTCGCACTCAGTCTGGACTCTGCCTGCGTAGTGTATTCGTACCTTTGGATGGAGAAGGGGAAAAGATGGACGTCATTCGCCGAGTCATGAACCAACCTAGAATAGTAACTATGCGCCCCATTCGGAGCGATGACACAAACGATGAGCGGCAAAGGAACGAAGTGGCCTTTCTGATGCTGGGAAGAAAAAGTCAGCAGTAGAAGAGTTTTTTTTCTCTCGCCTTTCCTCAGCTACTTTCACTCATTTCCTTTCAAGGTCCCGATTAGTTAGTAATGGTGAGACAAGCGCAATTATGCAGGACCGGTGTCGAACGGCCAAGGGACCGAGGGGTTTCCGGACCCGATGCCGCTGGACGCCCGATTCTTTGCCGTAGGGGGGGGGGGGGGGGGAACTCTATTACCTAAGCCAGTGGAAGAGAGATGACTTGCTTCTTCGGGCCGTCTTACGGAGCCTCTAGTCCATGGCAACGGCCAATGAGATGTAGCCGTCCGAGCCACGGGCGTTCGTTCTGCGAGTTGCGCACATCGCAACCCTTGTGGCCGCAACCCCGGTACCCACTCGCCGTGACGTCACTACGGAGACTCCGTGGCCCGCTTTTATGGAACCCGCTGGGCCACCACACGGGCAAATTCCTTGATACACAATCTCACACCTCATGGTGCAAGTGCATTTTCGCAATTGTGGACCACCACCAGGTGCTATCGCGACTTTCTGCGGGCACCATCCTTGTGTCAGCCTGCCGTATCGCAAGGAGTCGTCGATAAGGAAGTAGGCGCACGCCCAATTAGGAGTCATGGAGGGGTCTTCAAGGAGGCGGGCGAAGGAGGGGCAGAGATTGCGCCGGCGCTGCTTTATCTGATGCTGAAGAGAAGAAGTCCATTGTAGTAAGTACTCGACATGCGAAACGCCGCATGTTGTCTACCTTTTTTACCCTTGGTCCTGGTCCGAATTAGATTCCTTGTGACAAGCCCAAGTTGCCTTGAAATTCCTCTGGCTTATCCTTCCACGTTTGGGACGTAGCTTTGCGCTGGCGACAGACGTAGATGATGGATCAGAGCAGGAGTAGTAGCAGCATGACAGAGGTAGATACGAGTACATGGCTGAACGCAAAGCGTGAGAAATTGAATCACACCAAATAATAGCCTTTGTACATACTGTAATACGCCTCTGCATCTTGCCTCAGGGTCCAACGGCGGCCGTGACGGCGGCTCGCATGTGCTTCGTCCTCGCGCGCCAAGGCCGCCTCGGGTAAGGGTCGATCGCTGCCGCATCGGTACCCAGATCATCATCATTGCTCGGGGCATTTCGAGGCCCCTATCCCATATGCCTTGCGCGACACACACACACACTACAGACACGCACAGCACCGGCGGAATCTTTTGCAGCCGCAACGAGGAACCCGAAAAGCCAAGTCTCCACCATGACGGTTGGCCAGATGGATCCCCTCTACTTTCGTATGGAGCCTCCCAAACATGCTTTTGCCCTTCTCTTGTTGGCGGCTCGCTGGGTTACTCGCCCGTTTTGTGACTTGGACTACGTCCGGTACTTTGTATCTGGGTTGGTGACCCGTAGTAGCCCAGGAACAATGTTTTTTGGACTGCCAGTCTTGCCCTGGCGGTGAGATGGAGGAACCTTTGGTGCCACACAGGTTTTCTCCCGTTGGGCATGTAGCCGCATCCCGGTCCTTTTCTTCCATTTGGCAGTACCTTTATTCTGTACAGTAGGAAGTACTCCGTAGGTCGACTGCAGCATGCTTTCCTCGCAACAAAGGGCAGTGTCTTTATCCTATTCTGTCATAATCATAAAATTTCACCACCAGGTAAGGTCCTTGTGTTCTGAGTGGAGCAGAAAGGCTGCTGGTCTTGGATCCAAAAAAAACTTCTCATGCTACTTCGCCTCCACGGTATCCACGACCATGCACGACTCAAGAAACTCATCCCATGGGTGTGTGTCACTGAGCAAGGACCCGCGTTTGCCTGGTTTTAGCGGAGACTTCCACATGTTGGAAGAGGGTAGCGCAGGGGCGTCTCGAAAGCGCGCATTTCTCTGAAAGCGAGAGGCAGGGAGAGAGAGAGAGAGAGTGAGAGCAGAGACGTCAGCATCAAGTCAAGATGTTCTCATACCGGGAGTATATAAACTGGTAGCCCCCCCGCGATTTCCTTTTGAATTATCTACACCTGTTTGTCTTATCAATTCATCCCAATCTCAACTTATCATCTTCGTCGAAAGCTCCGTCTTTGACAGATACAGCTTCACTCTTCACTCTCCAAGTCAAACCCCACTAGCCTGAACATCTCCAGGCTTACAGCTCTTATCCACATTTGATCAAGCAGTTTTGAGGAGCTTCACTCTCTAAACCACCCACCATGGCTCCCAATCACCGAGCTTCGTCCACCGGCAGCTTCATCGAAAGCATCCAAGCTGCCCGGAAGCAACTAGACAACATGGCACTGAGCACCCCTGATTCCTCGCTCGACGGCTCAGAAGCATCATCCCCTGGCGACTCTCCAGTTGGAAGCCCTGCTAGCGCTCTGTCACCCGTCACGCCCTCGATAAGTATCGATGCTCCCGTAGCCGACAGCTTCGCCTTTGCCTTCGACATTGATGGTGTCCTTATCCGTGGCGGCCGTGCCATCCCCGAGGCTGTTGAGGCCATGAAGGTGCTCAACGGCGAGAACGAATACGGCATTCAGATGTAAGTCGATCTAAGCCTCATCTTTCAGTGACAGTCGAAACTGACATAAACTTTCCTAGTCCTTACATCTTCCTCACGAACGGAGGTGGCAAAACCGAAGAAGAGAGATGCGGCGACCTTTCAAAACAGATGGAGATTGAGATCTCCCCCGCACAATTTATCTGTGGCCACACTCCCATGAGGGAAATGGCTGACCGATTCAAGACTGTCCTGGTTGTTGGTGGCGAGGGCGAGAAGTGCCGTCAAGTTGCTGAGGGCTACGGCTTCAAGGATGTCATCACGCCCGGCGATATCATCAAGCACAACTCGGCCACAACACCATTCCGCAAGCTCACTCCCGAAGAACTCAAGAACTCTCGCGAGCGTGACTTCACCGACGTCACCATCGAGGCTGTCTTCGTCTTCGCCGATTCCCGCGACTGGGCCGGTGACATCCAAATCATGCTCGACATCGCAATGTCCAAGGGTGGCAAGATGGGTACTCTGAGCGAGACCTTTGACGAGGGCCCACCAATCTACTTCTCCCACAACGACGTCGTCTGGTCCGCGGCTCACGACAACGTGCGCCTGGGCATGGGTGCTCTCCGCCGCATGCTCGAGGTCGCCTTCAAGGACGTTACCAAGAAGAAGGGCAAGCTCCACACACACGCCTTTGGCAAGCCCCAGGTCAGCACATTCGAGTTTGCGACGAGGCTCTTGCAACAATGGAGACGCCAGCAGCACGGCCTCGACGCCCCTCCCGACACCGTCTACTTTGTCGGCGACACGCCCGAGTCCGACATCCGCGGGACCAACCTGTACGACGAGCACGCGGACAACGAGTGGCACAGCATCCTGGTCAAGACCGGTGTCTACCAGGATGGTACGGAGCCGGCGTACAAGCCCAAGGCTACCGTCAACACGGTGTTGGACGCCGTCCGCTACGGCATCCAGCGCGAGATCCGCAAGCGGGTCGTCACCTCCCTGCGCAAGGACATCCTCGGCGAAGAGGATTGCCTTCGCGCCATGCAGGAGAAGGGTAGCGCGTGTTACACTCCCCTCGAGGAGCGTTCGCAACCGATTTTGGGTTAAAGAGTCACGGGTTTCAAAGCATTTACAACCTTGTGCTATAAAATGGTATTTTTTCGGGATATTAGCGGTTTTTTCTTTTGGTTTATTAGGTTAAAGCTCTCTTCAGAGCTACCTCATTTTGTTGATTTCTTTATTCACTAGGACGGAGTAAAAGTGTGATACCAAAGGCGTCAGCAATGATCACCACGACTACAGATAGATGCTAGAGTCATAAATAGCTTGTCAGCAGATTCGCATCGGTCACAAATATATAGGCGCATTAGCCGCCAAATAACTATGAATCACTCTGAGCAGTTCTCAAGTCAGTGGACCAAATCGTGAACTATCCAGTGAGTTAGAGCGGCCAGTAGTAGCTCACACGTTGGCTAGCAGTAGTTTCAACATACTTTGGAATTTTCTGTCATTTACGAGTAATTCTTCCGCTACAACCGCCTCGGCATGGTTCGCGAGCGCAAAGACATCCACACACCGAACCGGGCAACGGCAATACTACTGCAAGGAGAAGCGAGTATCGGTATAACACCCTGTTGGCAGTCACTATCCCCTCCCTGATGAACCCGACGCCGAGTCCTGCAAAACACCGTCATTCACGACCTGGCGCCGCGCCGCTGCCCGCAGTGGTCCGCCAAGGAACCCGGCCGGCGTCGAATTTAAGCTGCATCCCTCTGCTTATTTCCTGATTGTCCGCCGTTGGCGCTACTGCTTATTGGAGAATCATCACCCGTGAGAAGCCGAGTTGCCAAACGCATCCTGCTTGGCAAGTGCCCAGACGAAGATTGTCTCGAAAGAGTAACCCGACGCCAGTTTTCCCCCTCGCATCTCGCATGCTGCTGTGGAGAAACCCCACAACACGTGGGTTTCCTCACGGGCAGAATGGATTCGCGGGTTGTTGATCAACGATGGAGGAGGGGAGGGGAACAAGTGGAGGAGTTGGCGCACGAGTTATGGACCTCGGGAAGTGAGAAGAGTGGAAGAAGTACATGTACGGAATAGGTGTTCAAAGAAGGAAAAGTGTCAGTTCTGCTCGTTTGCTATATGCACACTCCTCCCAATCCCCGCCTCCACATGGTGCTACTCGTTCTCCGTCTTCTCGTTCCCTCCTCTGTAACCTCCGCATCCCCTTATCGGTCGGTACCAGTAACACGCTTCGAATCCCTCGGATCCCTGGACTCGGGCGTCGTAGTGCTAGAGTGAGACTCTGTGAATGTGAAACTACCCCACTGCGAAGAGGCCGCCCACGGCGCAGCATCGACGGCTTCCTGGCGTTGCCGACGGTCCTTCACAGCCTCCGTCGCGCTGCAGCCGAGGGAAAATCCCGAGACGTATTCGCGGTCGACGCGCAGCCATCCTTTCCAGGCGGCCGTCACGTCCCCGGCCCCGAGGGCGCCGATGACGATGGTCCCCCACCATTCCCGGGCGCCGCTGTGGTGGCCGCCGTAGAGCATCCAATTCTCAGCAGCGGCGACGAGCTCCCGGATTTGCTCCGCGCCGATGCCGGCGCCGCCTCCGCTCCCGCTCCCGCTCCCGCTCCCGCCGCTGCGGCTATTGGCGGTGGTGCTCCGGCGGGCTGGACGATGCACGTAGGCGTGGCGCAGGTCGTCTGGGTCACAAAGGAGGCGAGTTGCGTCGAAGCGATACTCCGTGTCGATGATCAGTACCGTCTTGTTGTGCGGATGTGACAAAAGCGTCGAGACGAGTGCGTAGACGAGCGGTAGCTGGCGGCCGGTCACAGCCAACGGCGCGGACTTTGTCGCACGAAAGTTGCGATGGACAAGATCGTCGAGGCCGGGAACGGGATACGACTTTGGGTGCCTTGATTTATTTGTTGGCGCATCGGGATTAACCGCTATGCGGAGGGCATGCAGTATCTGTGGTGCTCAATGTCAGTGCCAGTGCATATGTGCGACTTCATTGTGATCAAATCGATGATGCGGGGTTAAAAATGAGTGCAAGTGATGAGATTGAAGATGGCTACGTTTAGTAGAGAATGGGGTGGGCAGAGGTCGTGAGGATTTCGGCGAGGTTCGATACACGGACCAAAAGTTGGACGGAAACATCAACGCATCCAGCTTTTATCGACCGGAACCAATTGAAGAAGTCCCTCAACCCGACTCTCCAGCGTGCGCAAACAGGACGGACTCGTGATCTTTGCGTACCTCATCTAGACTCGTCTCTTCGATCTCACCCAGCAGCCTTGCGCCAGCTAGAGCCGCCGCCGAGGGCATCTCCATTTCCATATCGGGCGCCGTCGCCGTCGCCGCCAGAAAATGTCGCCGCCGTGTGCCGCGTTCCCACCGTCGAAACTTGACGTGCACGTCCAGGCCGATGTCAAGGGGAAGAAGCGCAAGCTATCTGGAGGCGCCGACGTCGACCTGACCAAGTGCGCGTTGAAGGAGATGACGCAGTACAGGTGCTTTGTCGAGAACTCGCAGTCCCGAAACAGCCCGGTCCGCTGCTGGCCGATTCACCGACTCTTCCGACAGTGAGTTTTTATTTCTCCTGATGCCACTTCGTCAACGTCGCACAGTTATTCGTCGCCAGGGGGGGCACTGTTTACTGATTGTATGTGATTCACTAGATGTCAGGATAAAAAGGGCACGTTCACGGTTGAGACCACGGCTTGGGAGGGTTCAGATTCAAACCCCACCACTCGTCACAATTCTCAAGCTACAGGTAACAGCAAATCGCAAGACGGCCATTCCAATGAGCCGTCATACCATCAATGGTCTCAGGCATGGGAGGATGAGTGAGCTTTAGAACCATTGTTTCCGATGTGTCCACGACGACTTAGGCGCAAATTGGAGATCATCCGGATATTTTGGTTGTCTCATCAGAAGCGCAAAGCAGGCACAGAGGTGATGAATGAACTCCACCTAGACGATTGTACGATGATAGAGTCCGGCCGGAATATGTATTGGGTGACAGACTCAAGTTCACCGAAATCAAAGCTGTATCTATATCCTCAGATCACATATCAACTCTCCGACATCGATCATGAATTCGATCGACACAGATCTGAGAAACAGAGCCTGTGTGATCTCTGGCGCCATGAAATAGAGGTCTCGGTTATCTCGTCTACCTCAAGTCATACTGCAGTCTGTCGCACTGCTCCTCTGTGAGTTTGAGCAAAGCAAGGCTCTTCAATGTTGAAGCAGCAGTATGAATCCAGTGACATCGCCCTGATGAACCGCGTTCCGCCGAGCAAGGCAACTACAATCGACTCGAACGCATGCACCGCACCAATTCACATAAAGAGGCTCTTGGTTCAATTGCTGAAGTTGTATGGTACAATCGGGGTTGGATGATCAACTGATGAAGCCCGTATCTTGTCTATGACTGCAAATGCCCTCTCGTGCTTCCTCCGCCCAATCTAACAGCACCATCCCCATTCGTTTCCCTTCCCGTTTCGTCTCGGCTGTTTGGTATTCGCTTATGCCTTGCGGGCCTCGGCCTTCTGCTGCTCGAGCTTGGCGTAGTAGTTGTCGCGGGCGTTCGTGCGCGGCATGTGGAAGCCGTACCTATGATTCAATCTTAGTTTTGGGGGGAGACTTTCTGCAGAGATGGATGATCGATCGCGTACCAGTAGACGTTGGCCATGGCGAAACCGAGACCTGTAAGGCATGGTTAATTGAGTCGTTCTCGGATTATGGCGGGAAAAAGGGTGGAACGCTGGAGTAGCAGATCGCTGCATGCTGAAGTCAGGAGGCTCAATTGACGCGTGCCACCCCCAATCCAGCAGCAGCAAATCCGCAAATTCCAGCCCTTTCCACAAAGATATGCTTACCGAGGGCGATACCAAGATCGAGAACGAGGTTGCGTCTCAGCATCTGTCAGTCATCGTTAGCCCACAGTCCGTTGCCCTTCTTCCTTCTTCCTCCGTGGATCTGCCGGAATTGCAATGTTCGGAGGGGGGGAAAACGCACGCCCGTGATGGGCTTAACAGCAGTAGCGCCGGCCATTGTGATGTGTAGTGTGGAGAGGGTTGTGGTAGTCGATTGAGCCGAGAGTTCGTAATCGGAGGGTGGTTTGACGATGCTGAGATCTTTGGCGGGTAGCTCGAATGGTCTGATCAATTCGCGCGAAAGGAAATGTCACGTGATGTTCAATTCCTCTTCAACCAAGGTAAACGGCTCTGTGACGGCTTGCTGGGACTTAGCTAAGCATTTCGGTGATTGAAACTGCCTCGCCCTGGTTGGTCATGGCATCTTTCCTTGCATCTCAGCCAAAAAAAAAAAAAAAACCCTTAGGCAAGCCCAGGGTCCGGAGGAACGCCGGCTAAACAGCCCCAGGGGACGTGGCCCAGGTGCGACCATCAACGCGCATGGGATCTTCCGAGCATTTTTTCCCGTAACGGGTGGGCTTGAAGCTGGTTGACAATCAATCAGCTTGAATCCGCAACACCAGTAGTCGCCATGAGTCTTCCTACGAGGCGGTTAGCCTCTGCCGGTATGTTGCCAATTAATATTGTTTTGGCTTCATCCAAGCCCCCAAAATCTTTGTCATATCGCCGTTAGCTGTTGAATCGGGCTCCTGAGTAGCTAACCTTCCCTAACAGCTCCCTCGACACTCCAAGCCATCACCCGACCGATTCCTCGATCTTTTATCCTACCCATTCGACCAGCTACTCAAATCCGAAGCAAATGGACCCTCGGCAGCATCTTCGGCAGCCGTCGCGGCAGGAAAGCCAAATCTTCCGATGATATGATGGGCGAAAACCTCGACGACCCCAAGGTCCGCGAACGTTTTGCCGAGTCACAACAGCCCAAGATGTCCAGCTCAATCTTCGAGGAGGAAGTCGACGATGTCGTCGCGGACGCCAAGAAGGGCGGCTCCCAGGCCCAAGCTGCCCAGGCATCGGTCAAGACACCAGAGACGATGGCGTGGCGCCTCGACCCCGATCCGCGAGCTCGTCTCCGTTGGGAGAGAAAGAAGGTCATTCAGATGGTGCACAAAAACGGCCACGTCACCCGTGACGAGCGTATCGCGCAGACCGAGAAGAAGCTGTCTCACAAGAGCCCCTTTTTGGAGACCAGCGTCAAGAAGCTCGTGCATCTCGCGCGCCAGATCCAGGGCAAATCCCTCGAAGAGGCCGTTCTGCAGATGTCGTACTCCAAGAAGAAGATGGCGGCCGAAGTCAAGTACCAGCTGGAGGAGGCTAGAGATCTGGCTGTCGTCACTCGTCGCATGGGTATCGTCCGCAGTACCAAGGACTTCACTGGCAAGGAAAGGCAGCCCATCAAAATTCAGACCAAGGACGGCAAGAGCTTGACTATCCCAGACCCGAGAAGGCTCTATGTTGCTGAAGCCTGGGTTGGCCGAGGACCTTGGAGAGCCAAGGAACTTGACTACAAGGGCAGAGGCAGATTCGGTATCATGCAGTCCCCCTCAACAAGTATGTTTGATGCTCTCTCATTATGCCACTCATCTCATCTGCAGTGAGATTAACAATATTTCGCAGGCATTTCGGTCGTCTTGAAGGAGGAGAAAACGAGGATAAGGGAGCACACGGAGAAGTTGGCCAAGCAGGCGAGGAGAAAGCCCTGGGTACATTTGCCTGACAGGCCAGTCACGGCCCAGAGACCCTACTACTCATGGTAAAAACAAAGTCACAACGGGAAGACACGTAACCGGAAGTGCTTGGAATACCATCTTGTAACACACTCAAAACCTGTAAGAATATGTACAATGAAAAGCTGTCATAGAGTCTTTTACGCCATCTTCGCTGCCAATCCCTCTCACCTTACCGGTGCCTTTGGGTGTATGTATGCAATAGAAATAGGATATCCCGTGGTATAATGCTAACCTTTTTCGACAACCGCCCCTGACCCCTTGTCCACCGCAGCCGCTCATTAACATTCATTTAGTCATAATTCATAATGTAGAAGGCATCCGTCTGCACTGCTCATCTGCCTCAGATGGGAGCCACACTCGGATCGCCAGCCAAAAAGACGGGCAGGGTGAGTGCCTCAGAGAACTGCCTCTTACTCGAAACGTCTGGGTGACTGGCGCGGCAACATGTCTTCGTACCTTCTCGACTTCATCTCAAGCTCCGAGTGATTCTTGTCCTTCATGCCAATGAAACCTCCGGTGTAGTCTCTGCCGGAGCCAGGCATTGGGCCCGAAATTTGCATAGACTTCGTGCGGTTCTTTGGCCGTCTTCTGAGAAGCCACAAGGCCAAGGCGATGGCTAGGACACTGACACCTGCTCCCACACCGATACCTATCTTGGCGGATGAAGAGAGACCTGCCGCATCGCTCTTTAGGTTGCCTGCCCCAGTCTCTGAGGCTGAGCCGGATTGCGATGGGCGAGCTCCGGTAGAAGTCGACGTCGACCTCGAAGAGGTAGAGGACAATGACCTCGTGGATGTGGCCTGAAAGAAATTGATCAGTTTTGAAACTATCGTCATAGAACCAGTATGAAGCTTACAAGGGTGGTTGGAATTGCAGTTGACGGCTGGAAAGCCTGAGCAGTATCGGTGACGGGATTGCTAGAAGTTTCCGATGAGACTGTTTTGGCGACTTCAGATGAAGCGGGTGTCTCAGCTACGCTGGGCTTGGGTGGCTCGCTCGAGCTTGACGGTGCCGGAGGCGGCTGAGAAGTCGACGGAAGCGCCGCCGGGGGGGTTGTCTGCTGAACGGCGGGCGTGGAAGGCGGTGGGTTTGATGCAGGTGGCGTTGAAGCAGGGGGTGCTTTAGTTGCAGCTATCATGGAAAGTTAGTCATATTTTTGCTGGATCAGCGAACGAAGTTCCCTCACTTGCACAAAGACTCGTGACATATTCGTTGACTTTGGGTGCTACATCTGCGGCGCATGACTGCGATGCGCAGTCCCGAATACCAAATACGAAGTCCTGCTGTTTACACAGGCAGGCATTGTCTCCAGAGGCGCAACCAAAGCCTTTGGCAATGACATTGTTAACGCAGGTAATCTGCGAAGCACAAGCGTGTTAGTCCTTGATATTCGCTCAGTGTTCTAGAAATGTGTCTCGATGCAGCCAATCATGTCTCTGGATGATCATCTCGGTAGTGACTTACACCACATGGTGGCAATGAATCCAGCTGCGCGCAGACGTTGCCAAGAAGGGCCGCAATGGCGAAAGCCGGAACCCAGAATCGACGTCTCATAATGAGATTGGTGAAGGTAAGTGTAACGGAATACTTGATGTAATCAACGTCAAGCGAAGCGTCTTGGAGACAAGAATTCGGCGTGTCACTTCTGGAATCTCCCAACACCTGGTGCGCATAGGACCAGACCTTTCAGAGTGTCGCACAGAAGTTCATGGTCTGTCCTGAGTTGAAGTGGTTGGTGAGGTACTCTGACACGATGCAGATGGTCGAGAAGAGCGCGAAGTGGCGCGAGATAGATCCAGAGAGAACGTGTGAGACTGCTTTGAGAGACGGCCGAGGTGACGGAAGAGGCGAGGAAATTGACAACAGAACGCGAACCCCCCAGGCTCAGTGAGGTAAATAGCCGAAGTGATCTGGGTCAAAACGGGCGGCAGATGGTCGACGTAGCGGGAGAGTCAGGTCAAGTCAAGTTGGATGGACTTGTAGCGGGAGAGGGCGGGAGAGGCGAAACGAAACAAGTTGACCAAAGCTGGAATGGAAGTTAAACGGTCAAGGCGAAGTGGGAGGAATGGAAGAGAAAAGCAGGCGTGGGACGGAGTGGGGAGAATAGCTGAAGAAGATTCCGAATGAGCAGAAGAGAAGAAACAAGGTACACGGCGAAGAGAAAAGAAGGGAAGAAGCTCGCAGGTGAGGTTCCGGGGGAATGAGAAGGGAGCGGGGAGCGAGGATAATATTTCAGATTTAGAGAGGGAGGAGGAGTATTGCCGTATTGGAGAAGGAACACGCAGCACGCTCCTACTCCCACACCCACATGTCACTCGCACTTGCACTTACACTTGCAGTCCAGGGAGGGACTACCTTGCCTCAACGGAGAGAGCGGTGCAACTCACCTTACCAAGTTGGCTTACCTACATGCAGAAGGGACGGGAGGACGTGGGCCAGAAATAATGGCAGGGGCCAACCGATCCGATGGGATCATGGGATGGCAGGCACTGTTGGCCCGTATGAGATGCACGGGGTTGGATCATGAGCAAAGAGCCCAGATACATCCTCGACGGGGGAAAATAACGCAAAGAGCCAAGTCACTTGCGACGAGGGGCCTTCCTTCCTCCTTCTGTCAAAAACAGGGGAAAGGGGGTGGGGGAAGAAATAGAAGGCACGAGCACGGGCAGGAGGCTGTGAAGACAGCCCGGGGTTTCCCTCTCGTGCAAGTGCAACAATGGCAGTTGACGGCCTGCGGACCTTGTCGCGTCCACGTCAAATTAGTACGGTCGCGTCAAATAGAGATATAGACGGGGACGTGTTTGGCAATGTGTCTTCTCTGTCGGTTCTGAGGGCATCCGACGTGTCGTCTACTAAGGTAAGGTAGTTCGAGGTTTGTCGGTCTGCCTATACCTAAGGTAGAAAAGGTAAGTCGCGGCAGACGAACCATGGTGGTGACAGGCGTGTCGGGCCATTGATGGCTGATACTTGATAGTCCTCTCTTAACTCGACAGTGGGGAGCTACCTTACTTCTTACTTCTAATTCATCAAGCAAGCACAGAAGAGTAGGTAGGCACGTATGTATCCTGATGCGAGGGGTGGTCAGGTTTGAGAAGGGAGCAGGTCCGGGCACCTTCCATGTTGGTTGAGGTAAGTCCTTTACTCCCTTACCTAAGGTAGGCAGGCACCTTACCTTATTCACCTCAGGGCAAGATGAACTGGAACGAGGAAAAGGAAGGAGAGGCCCCGAGGGTTTAGTGTCTGCATGTTGCTCCTGCAAGTCCTTCCATGTCTTTCTCGTCTTTTGGCTTTTTTTTACCTGATCAGCCTAGGTACCTCGAGCATCACCGCCAAAGCTGCGTCATCCGATGATTCGACAAAAGACGGTCATCGATCCCATCCGAAGTAACGACTTACACCTGGAGGTGAGAGACTTCTGGCCTTTTCGTCACCCTTGGCTCAGTATGCGTACCTACGTGCCCGTCGAGGCAAGTCACATTGGCGGCTCGCTATGGAGTATGGATTGGGGTGGAGGATCCCCCAACTGGGCCTGGGCCCGATCTGAGAGAGACTAATACTCTGAGTCTGTGCCGTGCGCTGCCAGCCAGGATGAGCCCGCTTGGACAGGGATTGCGGAAATGGAAATGGGGTCCAGGGATGACGTTCAATGGAGGGGGAAGCCCGGTAAACGGCAAAGGCGACTCGGTCATTCATTCACTCTTCTTTGGTGAGTGTTCGTATGATCCGTACGCAACGCAAGTATCTCCAATTCTCTCGCAAGAAAGACGCGTTTTCACCGTCTCTTGAAGTATCCCACATCGTTCATTGCCTTTCACTTTGACGGGCTACAGAGTTGAGAGGATGAGAACAATACGGCAAGTCCAGGTTGCGGCGCATAATGTTGGCTCATGTTTGCACATCAAAGTAACACTGATATAGGTGTGCCCGCCGTGGGGATGCGCCTGCGCTGTCCTATCAAATCTTTCATATTGTCCGAAGCTATTCTTGAAGAATAAGCCACGCACGAATTCGGCCCCGTCTCTGACAAGGCCTTGTCGGATTGTTGGCGAACGCTGGCCCCATCCGACCCCAACGACCTGTTATTTGTCTGGCCGTCCGATCCCTAGTCGTATCTTAGCCAGGGGTTGGTTGGCTGGATAGGAATTGCTGGTAGTTGCGACACGGGGGCACAGTCAAAGCCCCCTCGTGCGGCGTATCCCCGTACCTAAGGTAGGTAGGTACCTAGGTAAAGACTAAACTTGGCGGCAGATTGGTGGAAAGGGGGCGAATCCAGCCTGTGAACTGCGCTTTCTGGGCCTCCTGCCCGATGAGGGGTCGGCAACGGTCAGGCACGTGCCTATTCGTACACTCATTGACCGCAGCTCGTTGATTCCGAAGACGATCTGCGCTAGGCAGGTCGTGTATCATGCCGCCGCAAGCCACCGTACATCAATCGTTTCGCCCTGGACTTAGAGAAGCACGCACCACGGAAGGCGTGGCACTAAGGTACTTCAAAAAAAGGAGACGGGCTCGGAGCGCATCGCCCAAAATCCATCCCGACACCCAAGCCCAAGGTAAGGTAGATGCGGTAAAACTTCTTTTTTCCGATCAGCTCGCTTAGCCTGTATGCACTGGTGCAGTGGTGCACTCTCATACGAGGATTCCGTCGTCATCCAACAAGGGGACGAGACTGCAGCATGGCAAACCCGGTGCCCGAAAAGGAAAGCAGGAACCTGGGAGTTCCATGTTCCATCGGGCTGCATGAACTGCGGATGCCGGTGCGGCACTCCCGTCGCCGGCATGGGGACCTGGACGGCCTTACCTAAGGCTTCTTAGTCTCTTTTGCCTTCCTTCCATGGCAACTACCTTATGTAAGCTGTCATCCGATGGTGCTGACAGGACTGATGAGAGGTAGAAAGACTTGAGCCCATGATTTGGGTTTCTCACTCTCAAGGAACGCGTCCTAAATACCAATCTCACTCAAGGTAAACTTGACTTGAAGATCAATGTCCTAGATATAGTTACGAACGCTTTTGTGAGGTGCCAATATAAGGCAGGTCGATTAGTTTGGGAACCCGAGCTGAGGGTGTTCTCGTATTCAACCAACAGCATTCTTCCAATCCTGTTCGTTCCCACCAAACGCACCTCTTTCGTTAGTTCTACTGCTGGCCGTCGAGATGGCAGAAAGACATTGGGGTGTCTTCAGCTTAATGTTGACTTGCCTACCTTCAGCAACTCGATGCGCATGAACATGGACTGATCCAATTGTCCACAGCGGTGAAACACTTGGGGCACCATTTCCGCTTCTTGGGCAAATTGGATAGCTTCGTGAAGGCTTCATTGCGATTTAGCTAATTTGGCTGGGTTGAGACAGCGCCGTGGATGTCCGTCTCCGTCGCTACCAACTCCGCCGACCCGGACCACGGCTCCGACGTTGTAGACTGACAGGTGGGTGACAGAACGACCTTCCTCTTACGTTTATCGTTAGGTCTAGCTTTATAACCACCTCTACTGCGACCTCTGACTCTATTTCTAAGACTGTCTTATTCGCTGTTTCTTAAGGTACATACTGCTTTTGTACAATATCCTCGAAGCATCTTAGTGAGATAGTGATAAAAATAAAACAGTGATGAAAAAAGAAAGAGGGTTGATTATGTATTGGCCGGCGGACTATTCCTTTACGCACTTGGCTGATGGTCATAATGAACAGCATTCAACAGATAGATCTGTCGGCGTTGTGGGGTGTCACGTGATTCGGTTTCGGTAACGGTTGGACCTCAGAGTTGAGAAGCCGTTGACAGGTGGGCTACCTATCAACTTTCTAGAGTCAGATCCGGGCTCGGAGTCCATTCCGGTGCCGAGACTGATCGGAGCCGGGTGACCAGACACCCAGAGTCTAGACTTCTACCTTAGGCGACTTATGGATAGACTCGCGTAAATTGCGGGCTAAGGGCTTAGGCATTTACTCCGTAAGCAGCATTGGTATGGCTTTTCGAGTAAGCCGATTACTCCATTGAGTCCATTCCACAAGGTAGGGAGACTAGCGCTGGAGATCATTGCAAATGCTATGAATAGCTGGGCTCAAAGTGCCTTGAGAACAACGATGCGGATTCCACGATCATGATGGCTATATGACTGGCAAGGCGTGCATAGGGAGAGAAGACGTTGGCTACATGTTGAAATGCAATCAGAGTCCAAAGGCGAGGCACGAAAAGAACCACAAGAGTTGAGAACACAACGGGTCGAGGACTTCTTGGGAGTCGCATCATTCTCGCGGCACGTCGGCATGACCTCACCAATGCCAAGCCCACCGGCCTCGCCAATGGCTTGATGTCTTACTCTTCGGCCATCTGAAAAACGGCTAAACACCCGGGCAAGACAAACGAGATAAAGTTCAGCCCCTTTGAAAAATTCTTACCAAAAGTTTACTTAACATCTTATTTGCACGGCGATAAGGACTGTTGCCCGGCCGGCCGGGTCCATTCATCAGAATATAACAGCCGGGCTTCGGCGTAGTATTGCTCCGGGAATAGGCGGGCTTTGGTTCTCCCTCCCCACAAGATGCGCCCGGCATTCCACTTCTCATCTCCATCCAGCTGGTCAGGGACGCGCCGGTGACCTATTACGTGTGCGTGAGGTAAGCTAAGTATTCATTCAAGCTACATGTATCGACAAGTCTGCGAGAGTGTGCGAATATGAAGATCGGAATCGGGCATTCTGTATGGCTTTGGTGTGGTTATGGGGTGGTCTTCTCTCATTCCGAGTCTCTCGATACCCAGTCCTCGATGAACTATCCGCAAGTTACGATGACGCTCGCTTTCGCATTGAAAGGTAAGATGACTTTACCTTGCCTCAATTGGCCGTGATGGGTCCGTGTCTTCGACCTCAGGCATTTCCTTACATAAGAGTCATTGGTGTCTAAGGTACTTTCACCCACGAAAGTCACAGTGTCTACGGCTAGATGTAGCCATGAGTGATATATCGCAGCAGTCGATGTCTTTCATTCTGCGGTCTCATGTCTTCAAACATGTATAAGCTAGAGCAAATCGGCTGAGCAATGGGTGCCAAGCTCGGGGCTTGGCTCTCACCGGAGTGCCTCATCTCGGGTGGTGTAAAGTACACACCACCACCCAACGCCAGTTCAGCAATACAGTAAAGTAGCCAGTGAATATCAACACTAAGCTAACTCGCGTTTGAAAGGCTGCAACTGTCGTATTTCTACAGAAGTATGTAAATTGAATCAAAGAAGAGTTAAAGAAATGAGGATAAACAAACTTTTCCTCAAAAGAAAAAGATTTTGTGACTGTCTGTTGCAACTCCCACTAGCGTTCCTTCTCGTTCCTGTCATTTTTTCCCGGCAGGTACCTGAGGTACCCGTGTACGGAGTACCTGCCGACAACGCCTACCCAGTTACGTGCCCGTAGTGTTTTGCTCAGAGCCCAGAAGGTACCGAGCAAAGGCGGAAAAAAGGGGAGAGAGCGAGGTGACCGGGCTGAAAAGACATTGCTTGCCTACGTGCCTGCCCCGTCTTGTACCGGCGCAAAGTTTCGATTTTGCGGTTGACCACG